ATTCCCACACTGTCTCCAGTATTATCCCCTGTAGGGCTATGGGTCAGTGAGGGGGTGTCATGTCTCATAGGGGGCCGGGTCATATGTTCTTCTCTGTGCACAGGCTGCTCTCAGCGGGGATATCGCCCTCAAGGTTTGGTGGGGCAAGATGTGCCCCACTCTTTCTTCCTTCCCCTTCGTTTTCTCCATGTGCTCTTATCAGACACATCCCTCTTCCTGAACTGTAGCTTCAGTGCTGTCCGCTGAAGTGAATTCTTCTGTGGGGTGGGGTGAGCTGTCCACGTAGTTGGGATTGGGGCCGGCCCCTCAGACCTCTCTACTGGTTCCCTGCTTCATGCCGGTATGTTGAATTTACGTCTTGGTGCACCAGGTTGACGTCTGGTCCCTCTTTGTCTGTGGAGATATAAACAATACCCTCCCCTTGGGTAGGTTAGTACCCTGTTCCCCAACTATCCATTTCTCTCTCTTTTTTCCTTTATTCCCCTCCTTTTTAGTTGGATACCATATGTATCCCTAGATCTGGTCTGGCCCCTGCCATACTACCTGGTCCTCACCCCAGGAATGTTTGTATATAGTAGTTTTTCCCTATGTCCCTTTTGCATTTTGTTTTTTAAGCTTACCCCAACAGATTCATGTTGTACTTGCCCTTTTGTTCTTGGCTTACTTTGCTTAGCATAATTTCCTCTAGTTCTTCCCATGAGGCGATATGCTTCATGCATTCACCACTGCTTTTCAGCGGTGTGTAGTACTCCATTGTATGTATGTGCCACAGTTTTTTAATCCATTCATCTGTTGATGGAAATTTGGGTTGTTTCCAACTCCTTGAAATTGTGAACTGTGCCGTGATGAACACTGGAGCACAGATGTCTGGCCGTGGTTTGTTTCTTGCCTCTTCAGGGTATATGCCCAGTAGGCGGATTGCTGGGGTCATATGGTAGTTCAATTTCCATCTGTTTTTGATATCGCCAAATTGATTTCTATAGTGTCTGTACATACCTGCAGGTCGACCAGCAGTGGATGAGAGTTCCTATCTTTCTGCAGCCCCTCCAACACTTGTTGCTTTCTGATTTTTTGAATTGGGCTATCTTTGAGGGTGTTTGGTGGTATCTCATAGTTGGTTTAATTTACATTCCTCTTATGGCTAATGATTGTGAACATTTTCTCATATGTTTATTGGCCATTCAGTTTTCTGCCTTTGTGAAACTTCTGTTCAGGTCCTGTGCCCTTCTCCTCAGTGAGAAATTAGTTTTTTTCTTTTTGGAAATTATCTGAGTATTGTAGATTTTAGTATTAAGGCCTTTGTCTGATGTGTCATTGCTAAAGATGTTTTCCCAGTCCGTGGGCTCTCTTATTATTCTTGGTGAATTCTTTCGATGTACACAGGTATTTTATTTTGTCAATTTGTGACCCCTCTGTGTTTGTGTCCTTCCCTATTTCCAATAGCCTATGTATTCCCTGCACCAAGGTTCTCAGGTTGGGCAGCATTCCTTCATTGATGGCCCGAATAGTTTGGGGTTTTCGAGGTCTGTAATCTACCTTGAGTTTATTCTTATATATGGAGTGAGATAAGGGTCTTCATTTTTCTGCAGGTAGATATCAATTTTTTCCAGCACCACTTGTTGAAGAGAACATCTGCTTCCCATTTGTAGCTGTATAATATGTGCTAAAGTCAGGTAAAGCAAGCCCTCCCACAGTGTCCTTCTTCTTGAGGAGTTCTCTGCTAATTCTGGGCTTCTTCCCTCTCCATATGAAGTTGGTAATCAGTTTTTCCATTTATTTGAAGAAAGATGAGGGTAACTGATTGGGATTGCATTAAACTTATATAGTGCCTTGGACAGAACCAACATCTTTACTATATTGAGTCTTCCAATGCACTAGCATGGGATATTCTTCCGTTTGTTGAGGTCACTCTTGGTTTCTTATAATAGTGTTCTGTAGTTTTCCTCATATAAATCTTTTGTTCTTTTTGTCAGGTATTTCCCTAGATATTTCAATTTATGCTTGGCTATTATGAAGGGTACCACCTTTTTTTTAATCTCCTCTTCTGTGGTCTTATCTGATGCGTCTAGCTGTCCAGTAGACTTCTGTTTGTTGATCTTGTATTCTGCCACTCTGCCACATTCCTCTATTGCTTCCAGTACTCCCCTTATGGAGCTTTTGGGATTTTTCCATATATAAAATCATATCATCTTCAAATAACAATAGTTTCACCTCTTCCTTCTCCAGGCAAATACCTTTGATGTCTTTTCTTTGCCTTATGCTGTTGGCTAAAATCTCCAGTATGATGTTTACTGGGAGTAGGGACAAGGGGCATCCTTGTCTGGTCCCCTTTTCAGTTGGATTGTGTTAGTCTTTTCTCCATTGACTACCACATTGGCTGTTGGTTTTTCATATATAACTTGTATTATCTTGAGGAATTTTCCTCCCATTCCTATCTTGAGTTTCTTAAACAGGAATGGGTGTTGGATGTTGTTGAATGTTTTTTCTGCATTTATTGATATTATCATGTGGTTCTTATATTTTTTTCATGGCAATGTGGCGAATGATACTAATGGTCTTTTGTATGTTGAACCATCCCTGCATCCCTGGTTTAAATCCCACTTGGTCATGGTGAATTATTTGTTGTATTCTAATGGCCAGTATTTTGTTAAGGATTTTTGCACCAATGTTCATTAAGCATATTGGTCTATAGTTCTCGATTCTTGTGGGATCCCTGCCCGGTTTCGATATCAGGGTTATACTAGCTTCACAGAAGGATTTCGGAAGTTTGCCGTCTTTTTCTATGTTCTGGAAGAGTTTTTGTAGGATTGGTGTCAGTTCTTCCCTGAATGCTTGGTACAATTCTCCAGTGAAACCATCTGGTCCAGGGGATTTTTTTTGTTGGTAATCCCTTGATAACCTTGTCTATTTCTTCTATTTCTATGGGTCTGTTGAGATTCTTGACATCCATCAGGGATAGTCTAGGGAGGGATTATTTTTCCAAGAATTTGTCCATGTCTTCCAAGTTGCTGAACTCATTGGAGTACAGTCCTTTGTAGTACGGTGTAATTATCCTTTTGATTTCATTAGGGTCTGTTGTAATGTCCCCTCTTTCATCCCTTATCTTTGCTATTGAGATTTTTTACCTCTTTTCTTTGGCTAGGGTTGCCAGTTGTTGGTTGATACTGTTTATCCTGTCAAAGAACCAACTTTTAGCAGCATTAATTTTTTCCATAATTTAAAGTTTTCCCTCTTCTGAATCTCAGTCTTCATTTTTATTTTTTTCTTTTGCTATTAGCAGCATTGTCCTGTTGACTCTGCTCTCATTGTTGTAAATTTTGTGTAAGCATATCAATCATAAGTCTCTCTTCCTTTTTAATGTGTGCTTGTATTGGTATGAAACTTCCTCTTACAAATTCAGAAAAACTGAATACTATTATTATAATACTAATGTATTAGTGAACTCTTTGAGACACCTCTGTAGCACTTTCCCCATTCATTTTTACCTGCCTACTTACGTGACAATGGCTCTATCATGCTTATAGATAGAATTGAAAGATTGTTCACTTTCCCTTCTAGCATTGTTGATCAAGTTTGCTTTTTATTATTGCTAGTTTAGAAAAATGATTTTCAGCTTTGCAATTCATTGTTAGTCAAATTCACTGTCATAGAATTTGATTCCGACTCAGAGAAACCCCATGCGACTGAACTCTCCCTGTGGATTTCAGAGATTGTTCATCTTTACAGGAGTAGAAAGCCTCATTTTTCTCCTGTGGAGCTGCTAGTGGTTTAGAACTGCTCACCTTGTGATAACCAGCCCAATATGTAAATAACTAATACTGTGTAAATATATCAATTTTGGGGAAACTTCTAGCAAGTTCCTTTCATTTTGGGGCTTCAAGGTAGCATGACATTTAGAATTTCCTTGTGGTGGAACGAACTGCAAATCCTCACTGAATTAATGACTTACACGCTGTGTTAGGGTTCTCTAGAGAGTTAAAACCAGATTGATAATAATTTTATAAATATATATTTATATAGATAGATAACACAAGAGATAAACAGTTAAATTATAAAGCAGTACAAATGGCTCAGTACAATTCAAATGTGTTAGAGAGTTGTGAGACACTGGCAGTCCTTCAAGTCTTGAGGGCCGCCAGGTAGTCCTCTATAGAGAGATTCAGATTCTCCCGGCACAGGTAGCAAACAGCAAGGCAGGTCACCAACTGTCAGCCAGGCCACCAACAGTCAGTCCCCAGCTCAAGAGATAAATTCCAATTGTGTGGTGAAGCAGGTCTTGAAGGAACCTCAAATTACAGCAACACAGGCCACAGGTTATGTGTCCCACAGGTAGTGTAGCTTGCAAATTGAGGCACAGAACAAGCAAGGCAGCCGCACATTGGTCCGATGATCAAAGAGCGAGACAAGAAAGGCGAGGCTCGTAAAGCCATTTATCTCTCTGCCCTTCAATTAATCCCACATGTGTTTATCGGCCAGGCTGGCACAATAAACTAGCTACCTCACACACTGATGACCTCCTCTTATAAGAATGACTGCAAGTGACATAAATATATTCCATTAAATGAAACTAAGTGTGTCTCCGTGTGCAGCCTAACTTTCTAGTGCTACCCCAAAGGAGACACAGTGTAAAGGAGGGACAGTTGGTGTGGCAGAATGCAATAATCTTAATCAATCATGGCTAAAGCGTTAGGAAGTTTGATCAGATGTCTGATTGTGCGAGCACCTTCCCAAACATGGGGGTGAGAAACTCAAGCGTCTTTAACTTCGTGGTAAATCCTCTGCTTCTTAAGGACATCCAGGACAGAATGTAGGTCATTCTTATTGGAATGGAAGGAGGGTTCCTACTGAATAGCAGTTGGGGGAAGAGCTGAACAGAAAGCTGAAGGAGTAACTAACGTGATATCAGAAGCCTACGCAGACATGCATGTAGTCTCTGACTAAAGTCAACCATTGAGCTGGCAAATCAACCATCGATTTTGACTTGAATTTTCTCTTTCTAGGCTGCTAAAAACAAGAAGAATGTGTCTGGAAGGCCGCAAGGTATGTTGCAGGAGTTTCTAATCAAAAGGGATTTTGCTATGCATTTAATGAGTTGAATCAACTACAGCCCTTTGTCTTATGCCAAGGTTAAGAGAACTCCATGATGTACAGCATTTAGACTATGATTGCTTTTATTATCATTTAATATGCTTTTCATGACTATTTGAAGCCTCCCTCATATTAAACCACTCAATTAAAAGCATATAGGTATAATTTATGTGAATAGTGCTTCCCACAGAGACACAAACTCTTCAGAGGCAGTCCTATTTTTTAGTGACCTTAAATATACTAATAGTAAGATGATGTTCATTGTTGTTAAGAGATGTTCTATCTTTATAACGATGTTTCTAAAGTGAACCAAAGACATATAAAGCATTGATATATAAATGGATTTTTGGTCTTCACTTAATTCTAGCCCAAATCTAAGAACAATTAGTTCTTTTAAAAAAATCATTTTGTTGTAGGCTCATGCAACTCTTATCACAATCCATGCATATATCCATACATACAAATGTGTCAAGCACATTTGTGCATTTGTTGCCATCATCATTTTCAAAGTATTTTCTTTCTACTTGAGCCCTTGGTATCAGCTCCTCATTTTTCCCCTCCCTCCCTCACCGTTCCTTCCTCATGAACCCTTGATAATTTATAAATTATTATTATTTTTTCATGTCTTACACTGACCATTGTCTCCCTTCACCCACTTTTCTGTTATCCATCCCCCTGGGAGGATGTTATATGTAGATCATTGTGATCAGTCCCTTTCTCCCTCTACTTTTGCCTTCCCCTCCTGGTATGGCTACTCTCAAAATTTGTCCTGAGAGGTTTATCTGTCTTGGATTCCCTGTGTTTCCAGCTCTTATCTGTACCAGTGTACATGCTCTGGTCTAGCCAGATTTGTAAGATAGAATTGGGGTCATGATAGTGCAGGGAGGGGATGGGGGAAAACATTAAAGAACTAGAGGAAAGTTATATGTTTCATTGGTGCTATACTGCACCCCAACTGGCTCGTCTCTGCCTTGTGACCCTTCTGTAAGGGGATGTTCAATTGTCTACAGATAGGCTTTGGGTTTCTACTCTTCACTCCCCCTCGTTCACATTGATATGATTCTTTGTTCTGGGTCTTTGATGCCTGATTCCAGATCCCAAGGCACCTCAGGATCACACAGGCTGGTGTGCTTCTTCCATGTGACTTTTGTTGCTTCTTAGCTAGATGGCCGCTTGTTTATGTCTTCAAGCCTTTAAGACCCCAGACACTATATCTTTTGATAGCCGGGCCCCATTAGCTTTCATCACCACAGTTGGTTATACACCCAATTTGTCTTCAGCGATTGTGTTAGGAAGGTGAGCATCACAGAATTCCAGGTTATTAGAACAAAGGGTTCTTGCATTGAGGGAGGACTTGAGTAGAGACCCAATGTCTGTCTGCTACCTTAATACTAAACCTATAAATATATGTACATAGATCTATTTCCCTATCGTTATATATAAATATATTTACATATGTACATGCCTGTATTTAGACCTCTATAAATGTCCTTTGCCTCCTAGTTTCTTTCCTCTATTTCCTTTTACTTTCCTCTTGTCCCACTATCACGTTTGGCCCTCATTTGGGTTTCAGTAATTTCTCTTGGTTACATTGCCCTTGATCTATGCGGTGGTCTTCTAACCATAAAGTCAGTTCTAAACCGCCAGGCTCTCCAGGGAGCAAGATGAGGCTTTCTACTCCTGTGAAGAGTTAGAGTCTCAGAAACCCACAGGGGCAGTTCTACCCTGTCATTAGGATCACCACGAGTGGGAACTGACACAATAGCAATGAGTTTTTTAAAATTTATGTTTTATTCAATTGGACCTTTGGCCCCAGCCTACTTCCCTGTTCTCCTGGCATTCTCTGCTCTGCCGCTGCCCAACAGTTCCGAGTTGGAGGCTATAGTGTATTTGGACTGAATCGGCTCATCCGGAGGCAGTGGGTGCAGTAGGACTCTAAGAAGCCTTTGCTCACATAATTTATTATAACATTCTAGCACTGGGAGGCTTCCTAGAGAATATCAGGTACAACAGCTTTCAAATTGTATTCCAGGGGCCATGGGGATCTGAGTAGGTCTTGGAGCATTGATCAGGCATAAGAAGGACTTAGTGGATGGACTCATTTGTAGGATCTCTCACTTCATTTGGGGCAGTTACGTTCTCTTCTCTTTTGTATTTTGGCATTCAGGGTAAGACTTTGTTGGAAAGAGCAGGGTTTTGTTGCCCCCAACGTGTGACAATCATCTATCTACTTTAATCCTCTCCATTTTACCAAGAGCACCCACTCCCGATGTCAGTAGGATTTATAGGCCCTCATTACGGGGACACCTGGGTGATTGACCTCTTCATCCGATGCCGATGCCTTTTCTTTCCCCAGATAGATGTGATGGCGCCTGCAGTAAGGACAATTTCCATTGCAGTGAACCCTGCCCTCCGAACATCCAAGGAAATATGGGTTTTGTGTGCAGAAGAAACAAATGGCACAAAGTCACGGATACCTGCCGAACCCTTGACATCTCTAACATTTTTGAGGTAATTGTGTTTCTCTCACAGCATGGTCTCTATAGTGGGCATGAGGAACAAAAGGGAGCCTCAAATTATCAGTGAATGATCCCCTTACTAAGAGAGAGGAAGAACACAAAGGCAGAGAACCATGCACCCATGTTTTATGTAACTATATCATACCTACTGCAAGGTCAGCCGTTCAAAAACCATCAGCTTCTCTGTGGGAGAAAGATGGGGCTTTCCACTTCCATGAAGAGTTACAGTTTTGGGAACTCACAGGGGCAGTTCTATTCTGCCCCACAGGGTCACTATGAGTTGGCATTGATTTTATGGTAGGGAGTTTACTGATTCTCTCTCTCTACACAAGAGTCACATTCCTAACCATGGGTATTTAAAATGTTGACCTTCCATTGATCACATCCTTTTGAGTTCTGAAAGAAGTAGATAATTTAGGATTTTGTGGCCATTTGGCTTAGCTCTGTCTTTGTATATGGAAACAGCCCTAAATAATATGTGAAGAAGTTGTTGTGTGTCTATAAAACTTTATTTACAAAGAAGAGCTGACCAGCCACCCTGATTTAATGTGTGAGACCTGATTCAGTGTGTGATACCCAGATCTACAAGAGAAAGACTTTTATTTTCCATCGTGTCTCTCTCTTTTTCTTTCTAGTAGATTCATCCAAACCTAGTTTGGAATTTCTTTAAAAAATATGACCATGTCTCATGCCTTACACTTTGGGAATTAGAGTAAAACCAAGCTTAAATGGTGCCAATACTTTATAGCTATATACACACAGAGGAAGAGCATTTATCACACAGATGGCTTAGACTGTACTCAATCCATCAGTGATACACAGAAGCTAGGTGTCACGATCGGTTGCTGTTAGCTTTACAACTAAGAACACCCTACTCAGAACACAAGGCAGCTTCATGAGTTGGCATGGGTTCAACAAAAGTTGACAAGGACAACAGAGATACACAAGAAGGACAACATAGATACACAAGAAGGGCCAGATTTGTGATTTTCAGGGAATGGGATTAAGGAGAAGCCTCGGGAGGATATAGGGCTTGCATTTTGGGGCAGTTATACCCTTTGGTCAGGGGTTGATCAAGCCATTCCACAGGAGATGTGACTTGAGAAGCATAAAATAGAAAAACATTATGTAATGCATACTTGTGTGCTAAAGTTGTCTTAAGTTTTTTTAAAATCATTTCATTGGGGGCTCATACAACTCTTATCATAATCCATACATACATCAATTGTATAAAGCACATTTGTACATTCATTGCCCTCATCATTCTCAAAACATTTGCTCCCCATTTAAGCCCCTGGCATCAGGTCCTCATTTTTCCCCCTCTCTCTCCCCTCCCCCCTCCCTCATGAGCCCTTGATAATTTATAAATTATTATTTTGTCATATCTTGCCCTGTCCGACGTCTCCCCTCACCCACTTTTCTGTTGTCTGTCCCCCAGGGAGGAGGCTATATATATGTAGATACTTGTAATCAATTCCCCCTCTCTACCCCACCCTTCCTCCACCCTCCCGGTATTGCCATTCTCACCACTGGTCCTGTAGGGATCATCCATCCTGGATTCCCTGTGTTTCTAGTTCCTATCTGTACCAGTGTACATACTCAGGTCTAGCCAGATTTGTAAGGTAGAATTGGGATCTTGATAGTGGAGGGGAGGAAGCATTTAGGAACTAGAGGGAAGTTGTATGTTTTATCATTGCTACACTGCACCCTAACTGGCTCATCTCCTCCCGCAACCCTTCTGTAAGGGGATGTCCATTAGGTCCCCACTCCACACTCTCCCTCATTCACAATGATATGATTTTTTTGTTCTGATGATGCCTGATACCTGATCCCTTGTACACCTCATGATCACACAGGCTGGTGTGCTTTTTCCATGTGAGCTTTGTTGCTTCTGAGCTAGATAGCCGTTTGTTTACTTTCCAGCCTTTAAAATCCCAGACACTACATCTTTTGATAGCCTGGTATCATCAGCTTTCTTCACCACATTTGCTTATACACCCATTTGTCTTCAGCGATCGTGTTGGGGAGGTGGCCTTAAGTTTTAATGAGGAGTCCTGGTGGCCTCGTGGGTTATGCATGGCATTGCTAATGGGAAAGATGACAGTTTGAAATGACTAGCCACTCTGCAGAAGAAATATGAGACTTTCTACTCCCCCAAAAGAGTTACAGTCTTGGGAACCCACAGGGGCAGTTCTTTCCTATCCTGTCGGATCTCTATGAGGTGACTTGATTTGATGGCAATGAGTTAGTTGAGTAAGTTTTAATAAAGATACTTTTACATTTAAAACAAAAGTAACCTAATAGACATTTATTTTTGCTTTCCCTTAGGTTAACTTATTTTCAACTCAATTCATTAAAGATAGTGTGAAAATTACCCACTATAATAGAAATCCCATGACCATTACAGAGACATTACTGCAAACATGTCCGCAGAATTTGTCTTGTGTAATTAAACCCATTAAAGAGTCTCCTCAGTTACCGGGAAACATTGCTATACTTGTGCAACTCTTACACAACATATCGACAGAGATTAAGGCAGATGTTGATGAGGCAAAAATGAAGGTGAGTGGCTTTGAGTACTTGGTAGAACATTTCATTGGGAAAGGGATGTAGGTCAGTTGGAATATCTGTGTGTCTTTCACTTCACTACCTTCAGTGCTTAGCATATTGTACATTCAATAAGTCTTGTTTGAAGAGATTAGTGGATGGAATTGGCAAACACCCATATTCATGTACAGAGTGTATTTGTTGTGTCCTGGTAGACATCGGAGTATATTTTTGTAATGCAATTGTGACTACTTAAAATGCCTAAGGACCATCCGAGGTCCTGCAGAAGGAAAGACTTTTCTTCATTTTATTTGTGAAGTTGCTAATATGGAAATGAAGTGCATGCCAAGAAAGCAGCTATGCATGTCTCCTGAGGAAATCTGAGATGGAATTGGACCCATTTTGTTGGTTTTTGACTCTTTAAGACAGAGGACAATAATAAGTAGACTCAACTTCCAGGGCCGATGGACGCTCCAGTAGAGTACCCAGCACCCACGTGGGATCTGGTAGATGTTAATGACATGATGAGGGGTACTCTGGCTATCATAAGAAAACTGTTAGTCTTTCCCAGGTGTGAAGTGGAGCTGATGATGCAAATGAGCACGGTGGCCGTAGCCCACTTGCCTGTTTACCAAGAAGCCATTGCATAAAAGGGAGGAGGGAAGGGGAGGGAACTCCCTTGTGAGTGTATCCTTAAATTGGAACTGGGGGATCTGAATAAACTACAGATTCTGATTCCTTCAGTCCAGGGTGGGCCCTGAGCTACAGCACCTGTTAGAAGTTCCCAGAGGATTCCTATAGCTGGGGGGGGGGGGGGTCCACACTGTAGAAGTGAATTGTTAATGAGCTGGGAGGTTCCGAAAGTGGCTCCGGCCTAACTCTTGGTTTCCATTGGTAGGGTTACAGCACTATTGCCAACCACATTCTGGACAGCAAAAGCATCTCAAACTGGACTTTCATCCCTGAGAAAAACAGCAGCGGTGTCCTGCTCCAGTCCGTCAATTCCTTTGCAAGAAAGCTATCGATCACTAAACACCCCATTGACATCCCGAATGCTTTCATCCACATCAAGGGTACCACCCTCGCCACAGACAACGCTGGGAGGAATTTGACTTTTTCCATGCGAGTGAATGACATCGGCCGGGATGTCAGGGGGAAGGTGCTCATCTCCCCCAGGGCTGACCTTCGGAACGCGCCTTCCTCTCCCTCAGTCGTCAGCATCGCCTTCCCCACCCTGGGGGCCATCCTGGAAGCCAGCCTGTTGGAAACCACGACCGTGAACGGCCTTGTCCTGTCCGTCATCCTCCCCCAGAATCGTTCACACATCTCTCTGACGTTTGAAAAGATCCGCCAGTCAGAAGAGAAGGGGGCACGTTGTGTCGGCTGGCACTCCTCAGAGAGCAGATGGGATCAGAAAGTCTGTCAAATGATTCAAGAAAACTCTCAACAAGCTGTTTGCAAATGTGAGCCAAACAGGTTCTTTACCTCTTTCTCAATACTTGTGTCACCCCACGCCGTGAAGAGCCTGGCCCTGACTTACATCACGTACGTAGGCCTGGGCATTTCAATCTGCAGCTTGATCCTTTGCTTAAGCATCGAGGCCTTGGTGTGGAGCCAAGTGACGAAGACCGAGATCTCGTATTTGCGCCATCTGTGCATTGTAAATGTCGCGGCCACCCTGCTGCTGGCTGATGTGTGGTTCATCGTGGGCTCCTTTCTTGGTGGCCCGATGGCACGGCATAATGGATGTGTGGCAGCAACCTTTTTTGTTCATTTCTTTTACCTTGCTGTGTTTTTCTGGATGCTCGCCAAAGCACTACTTATCCTCTATGGAATCCTGATTGTGTTCCACACCCTACCCAAGTCCGCCCTGGTGGCATCTCTCTTTCTCGTGGGCTATGGGGGGCCTTTGGTCATTGCTGGTATCACAGTTGCTGTCACTGAGCCTGGCCAAGGTTATTTGCGTCCCCAGGTGTGCTGGCTTAACTGGGACAAAACCAAGGCCCTCCTGGCCTTTGTGGTCCCAGCCCTGACCATTGTGGTGGTGAACTTGATCACGGTTGCCCTGGTGATTGTTAAGACCCAGCGAGCCTCCGCTGGCAGTTCCATGTTCCAGGAAGTGAGAGCCATTGTGAGGATCTGTAAGAACATTGCCATCCTCACACCACTGCTGGGCCTGACCTGGGGATTTGGAATTGCCGTGGTCATCGATGATAGCTCCCTGGTCTTCCACATTATCTTCTCCTTACTCAACGCTTTCCAGGTAAGTCCATGTGCTCCTGAACTGGTACAAAATGAGGACTCTTGAAGAGTTATTATGATAAGAGGCATGTGATGTTAGATTTCTACGTCACAGACAATGTATTTGGAATATGCTATTGAGTACTTGGAAATGAGCTATAGATGCAAAAATGCCTAGATTCAAGTCCTGACTCTCTCGCTTACAAATGTGTACAATTCTCTTTGGAGCCCCTGTGTGGTCCAAATGGTTAAACTCGTATCTTTGAAGTGACAGGTTGGCAGTTTAACACCCCCCCACCCCCCACGGAGGACAGAAGTGCTTTAAAGGGAAGTCCTGGAGATCTAATTCCAGAAGGTCATGGTCTTCAAAACGGGTGTGAAGCACAGTTGTGTTCTGCACCCAGGGAGTTGCCAGGGGCTGGAACTGATTCCATGATAATTGTTATTTTTAAGCCCCCATGATCTTGGGTTATTTGCTCAACCCTTCCGAGTCATATTTTCCTCTCTTTAAAGTGGGTATGATACTGCTCATTTTAGAGGAATGTTTGGAAAATGAAATAAAATGGTGAAAGGAGAAGCATCAATTACTGAAATGAACTAAATTCTAGATAACAGCCTAACAGTAGATGGGGTGGTAATAAATAGAAATAAATAATATCAGCCCCCCTAAAAACAATTTTGATATCTATCTGGAGTTATTAAAAATGTTTGAGTTTATTATTTTGACCTCCACTTAGATATTGTGGATACCATTGGAAAACATCTTATTTCAACAAGGCAAACCATACTCACTCATGTTATCACTGTGTGCTACTGAATTGATTCTGACTTGGCTGAGGGATTTGTACTCATCTGGTGGCTCTGCAAGGGAAAAGACTTGGAGACCTGCTCATGGAAGGGTGATCACCTAGAAAACTCTATAGGACAGTTCTGCTGCCTTTTGGGTGGCTATGCCTTGCTATGAAATAAACAGTCACATTAAAAATTAAGTCTCTCTTCACCTCTTCTGTGAAGTAAGCAATCTCCATAGTTTCATGTGTAACATGATATAATATTCTATACATATACCATATATATATATACACACACCTAATATTGGGTTTAAATATATATGGATATGTATAAGGGATCTTTAAAAATATGTGTATGTAAAATAAATATATACATGTATATATAATATGTGCATACATTACATATGTACTATGTATATATGTGTGTAGTATACGAGGGGGGACCCCCGCCAAACCAGAATTTTTTTCCAAAGCTATGTATCTAAATTTTTTTATGAAACGACTTTATCATTTTCAAAGTACTTTCCATTACACTTGATACATTTGTCAAATCTACGATTCCATTCTTGGAAACATTTTTCAAACCCATCTATTTGGATGGATGACAGCACCCGCCTCATTTGTTTCTCCACCTCTTCTATGTCATCAAATCGCTGTCCTTTCATATCCCTCTTCATTTGTGGAAGCAAAAAGAAGTCGCAAGCCACAAGGTCAGGTCAGTATGTGTGTGGGGCAAGAGAGGCATGCTGTTTTTTGGCCCAAATTGGTGCAGCGATGGTTGCGTGAGCAGGCTCATTGTTGTGGTGGCAAAACCCCCGCTGCCACAAATCAGGCCATTTTGTTATGCACTGTTACGCTATCTTTTCAGAACCTCTAAATAGAAAGCTTGAATGAACTCCAAAGGCACTATCCTTCTGACATCAAAAACAAAGGAGCATCTTCTTGATCTTTGATTTCCCTTAATGAACTATTTTTGGGGTGAGGTGACAATGGTATTTTCCACTAGTTTGATTGATGTTTCCTTTCAGGGTTGTAAGAATATGAATAACGCCGTGTCTCAACATCAGTAATGTCCTTGGGGAAAAAGTCTGGGTCACTTCGGAGCTGTTCTTTCAAAGCACGGCATGTTTCCACTCGATTTTCTTTTTGCGGGTCAGTCAGAATCCGTGGTACAAATTCCTTAGTGACTCTTCTCATTCCCAGATCTTCCATTAAAAGAGAGTCCAGGTAGCTTCCCCATCTCTTATTGGTCTGTCATTGGTCTTTGAGCACAAGTGCATGACTTTTGTCCACATTTTCATCTGTTCGGGGAGTTGACAGATGTCCAGAATGAGGTTTGTCATCAATCGACATTGCACCTTTTTTGAAACGAGAAAACCACTCATACATTTGAACTTTTCCCATAGCGCTGTCCTTATGAGCTGTGTTCAACATCACAACAGTGTCTGTGGCATTTTTCCTGAGGAGGAAACAAAATTCCACAGCTGCGTGCTGTTCTCTTAAATTAGCCATCAGGAAAATGAGGTTTGAGCAAAACTACTTTTATGAAAAAATTCACTGTGACCAGAGAGAATCTTTCCAGGCTAAGCCATTGGGTGCACTAAGTCAGAGCGAGTTGCTTAGCGGGAAAAATGCATGCTATGAAAGCTTTGCCCAGCAGAGCTTTTTTCCAATTTTAGGGGGATACCCCCTCATATATGTACATACGTATAGTATATATGCATAGCATACACACACATACAGACACATGCACACATAAGAGGGCTTCAAAAAGTTCATGGAAAAATTGAATGAAAAGATAATGATATTTTTCTATGACCATTAAAGAAATCTTTTTCCCAACAGTTTTATTGGCACATAATTTATATATCATACAATTCAATAGTTCAATCATGAAATCATATCAAAGAGCATTGTACAGTTACTACCACATCAATCTTAAAGCATTCTGCACCTCCATGGTTAAATGGCTTTTAAAATGAGTTGTGCAATCACAATCAGTTCTAGTGATACCTCTCCTTTACCACCTTCATTATTTGCTCCTAAAATCCCCTTCCCTCCCTACCCCCCACCCCCACCCCTGCATTCAGTAGAAACCCTTTTGTCAGTTAATCTCAGTATATATCTGCTCCTCCTGTGCTTCACAGCGAGGCACCCAACAGAAAACAACAAAAAACTAAATCGCTCTAAGGTGCTAAGGATAAAATTATAATAATATAAAGACAAAAATTAGAAATAATCCTTACAAAGGAAAATATCCCATCAACATTCAAAAAGTCAGGGAAGAAATTCTGTCATGGAACCAGTAAGAGATACTTACCCCTAGTACAAATTCAGGCCAGGTCTATAGGGTGTGTGTGTGTGTGTGTGTGTGTGTGTGTACTGCCTAAGTATTGAGTTTGATCCAGCATAATCAAGATTACAATGGCCTCTGCCTGATAGTAAGGCTGATGGAGACGCTTGCCTGTGGCTAGAGCGGATCTACCATCGACTCAGTCTGATCAGATACTCTGCAGATGGGTTGGGCTCCCATGATCTATAAACATTTTTAAGCTGTGTGTATTTGTGTGTGTCATTAAATAACTTATTTTTCATTTAGGGATAAATATTACTTGGTCACTATGCATGAATATTCCATTGTTTCCATGGCTGCATAATATTTCATGTTCAATCATTTTCTTCTTGATTGAAATTTTTTCTGTTTTTTTCTGTTACAGTGTATACCCATGAGCTGAAGTGTATTATATTGAATATAAATTTGTAAATAACATCTAATGGGAAGAAAGCTTTCTTTTTTCTAAAGACCTCTGAAATATGGTTTGTTTCTGAATGTCTGACTAGCCAGTATGACTATCCTCAAGTAAACGTTACACCCATCAGATAGTAGAGATTTGATCCAAGGATTTCAATTCTTTCTCTTTTCAAATTTTAATTTTATAGAATATCATCTTGCAGTAAACATTTCAGTGCTGTGGAGAACAATGTTAAAAATAATAGGGTGGCCTCCCATATATCTTAACTCGCTCTGTTTATTTTTACATTTATATGTAACTGTTGTTAGTTGCTATAAAGTTGATACACGAGGATTCCATTTATACAGAGTAAAACAGAGTTTCACAGGGTTTTTTTTTTTGCTATTGTCTTTAGGGAAAAGATTGCCATATTTTTATTCTGCAGCACCTCTGGGTGGGTTGGTAGCCATGGTGGGTCAGTGGATTCTGACTCGTGATCACTCCCTGTGCTGTAGATCGAACTGCCCCATAGAGTTCTCTGGGCTGTCAAGATATGGGCTCATTTACATGAGAGTTGTGTGCCTCTGGGAGGTGAGGGTCTCACATCCACTTATGAAATGGCAGTCACTGAACAAGGAGCATGTTTGGCCATCATCCTACCTCCCCAGGCCTGAGTAACTGCACCCTTAACAGAATTCTGAACCATCATCCATACCACTCTGAAAGCTGAATTTCTGAGCTGCGTTTTTTCTCTCTGTAAAATGGGGTTCATACCTGTCTTGCCTGCTTCCAGGATAGGTTTGTGTCAATAAGTGAAAAACAAACTTTGAAAAACCACAACAATGGAGGGACAATCTGTTTTTTATTTTAAGTGAGTCCCCTTTTGCCTGACCAATAAGGGTTATAAAAGCGAATCATCAGGGTGCAGTGTAGCAACGATGAAACGTGCAACTTTCCGCTAGTTCCTAAATGCTTCCTTCCCACTATCCTCCCACTTTCATGATCCCAATTCTACCTTACAAATCCCGCTAGACCAGAGGATGTACACTGGTACAGGTAGGAACTGGAAACACAGGGAATCCAGGGTGGATGATCCCTTCAGCACCAGTGGTGAGAGTGGCGATACAGGAGGGTGGAGGGAGGGTGGAATGGAAAGGGGGAACCGATTGCAAGGATCTACATATAACCTCCTCCCTGGGGGACGGACAACAGAAAAGTGGGTGAAGGGAGACGTCGGACAGTGCAAGATATAACAAAATAATAATTTATAAGTTATCAAGGGTTCATAAGGCAGGGAGGAGCGGGGAGGGAGGGAAAAAAATGAGGAGCTGATGCCAGGAGCTTAAGTGGAAAGCCAATGTTTTGAGAATGATGAGGGCCATGAATGTACAAATATGCTTTACACAATTGATGTATGTGTGGATTGTGATAAGAGTTGTATGAGCCCCTAATAAAATGATATTTTTTAAAAAGCAAATCGATCAGCTCCATGCATAGCATCACATTCAGAGCTTTGCTTTCTGAGCCCCACTTTGGCTTAGAAACACAAACTTGCATGTTGCATTATTTTTTCCGGGGATGCATGTACTTAATTCTTCTTTCAAAGTCTCATTGCATCCTTTGGCTGTAGATGAGGGAAGGAGGTTAGTTAGGAGTCTTAAGGGAAGATGAGCCTAGTTACTTGAGTTCCTCGCTTCAGAAGTCTGCTTTATTTGATTGTTCAGTCATCCAGAGGCTGCCACCCATTACTGAACATCTCTGTGCTTTTCTCTGATCCTTATAGTCACATAAGATGCACAGCTCGTGTTAAATGCAAAGAATTTTCATTTTTCCCAACTTAATAAATACATTCCTCAAGTATTCCTCTATCCGACAGAGAACCATTTGGTTTACAGAACAGGGATTGTAATCATGGAAATGGCCAATCAATATTTGTTGAGTGAATAGATCTATGTATTGTGACCTTTAAGTGGGGGTTTTAAAGATTGAATGAGATGGTTTTCTTATTACCAAATAGAAACTGATCATTGATGCTGGTTATTAATATTATTATTAATGCTGTTGCTTCCCTTCTCTTCTGTGTTTCCCAGGGCTTCTTCATCTTGGTGTTTGGAACCATCCTGGATCCGAGGGTACTGTGAATCCTTCTTGTTATTTTCTTTGCATTGCTGTGTTTGATCCTGAAATGTCCACTTGTGAAGAATTTCAATTTTTTTCTCTAAGATTTAATTATTCATAATGCCATGTTCCAGTAAACATTTGGAAACTCCAATAAGCATTTGGAAACTACTAACATTGGAGAACAATGTTAATAATAATAGGGGGCCTTGCCTTACATCTTGATGCTCTGCTTTTATTTTCAGTCTTTCTATGTACTTTTAAAGTCTTCAATCATTGTTCAGGCATATGATCAGGGGCCCCTGTTCTTCAAATTATAAGTCATAGCTCCTATTTTGTACATATTCACATTGAACCTTGGAAAGATCCTGGGCATTACTAGTTTCGGTTTTACGATGGAGGAAACTGAGGAGATAAGTAGCTTACTCAAGACCTCAACAGATAGCCCCCCAGAAGCTGAAACGCCATAGCATAGTCTGCACGGGGGGCTGAGAGACTCAGTGGCTGGTTTTCATCTGGAACAGCAACCAACTCAAGTAGGGAATTCCCCAGACAACAACAACAGCAGAGTAAATGAATGAACAAACTATCAACTGCTTCCTCAGGCTCCTAAGATCACCTTGTATCATGCTGGCTCTTGGAATGAACCATGTAAAAGCCCTTCTCAGATGTGGGTGCAAACAGCTCCGCTTCAGACAGATTGTGTGTATTTTACCATCAACGTTATTTCAATATTGAGTTGTATGGTGACCGGAATTTTCCAGTGTCCCTTTCATTCTCTTCTTTCCTTTCGGATCATGAAGCTATCCAAGAAATCCGGTAAAATCACTCAGAAGAGCATGCCAGAATCTCAGGCCTCTTATGTCTCCTTAGAAGCTGTGTGCCTTGGTGGTGTAAAGGTGTAGTGGTGTGTGTAGTGGTGTAGTAATGTGTGTAGTAGTGTTGTGGTGTGTGTAGTAGTGTGTGTAGTGGTATGTATAGTGGGGTAGTGTTGTAGTGGTGTAATGTTGTAGTGGTGTGTGTAGTGGTTTCACAGTATAGTGGTGTAGCAGTGTAGTGGTGTATATAGTGGTGTAGCAGTGTGTTAGTGGTGTGCGTAGTGGTATAGCAGTGTAGCGGTGCAGTGGTATAGTGGAGTGTGTAGTGGTATAATAGTGTAGTGGTGTGAGTATGATGTAGTGGTGCAGTAGTACAGTCATTTAGTGATGTAGTGGTGTATTGATGGTGTAGTGGTTTAGTGGTGCAGTGGTATGTGTATGGTGTAGTGGTGTAGTGGCATAGTGGTGTGTTTACTGGTGTAGCAGTGTAGCGGTATATGTATGGCGTAGCGGTGCAGTGGTATGGTGGAGTGTGTAGTCGTGTAGTGGTGTGTGTAGTGGGGTAGCAGTGTAATAGTGGACTTACTACAAAGTCCACAGTTTGAAACCACCAGCCTCTCTGTAGGACAAAGCTGAGACTTTCTTTTCCAGTAAAAAGTTACAGCTTCAGAGACCAGAGGGCAGCTGTATTGTGCTCTGTGGGTTCGAGCACCAGTGAGTTAGAATTGCTACGGTTAGAGTCAACTCAAAGACAGAGAGTGAGAAGTGTGCCACTGGAAGATTCCTTAATCCGAGTGAATCCCAGACTCCTGCCTACCCAACTCACTCACTAGGTTATGATAAAAACAAACGAAATTTTGTAAGTGAAGGAAGGTGCACAAGAAGTATTTAACGTACCCGTGATATGATTAGGAGCCCAGGTGATGTCCTGGGTTACCTGATAGACCTGCTATTCGCAGTCACCAACTTGAAAGCATTGTGATCCTCAAGAGAAAGTGGGGTTTTCTCTTCCTGTAAAGATTTAGTCTCAGACGCCCACAGAGGTGGCTAGGCTCAGTCTTACATTATTGCTAGCATTCTAAATGCCACACTCGCATGATTCAGAATGAACCTGAGGGCAGTGCCTTTGTTTGGGGCTCATGTGTAGCCAAAGTCTTAGCAAACAACCCATTGCCAACTCCAGGGGGCGCTCCTCCCTCTTTGGAGGCTGCCACATCCCAATGCCTACTGCCTCTTCAAGGAGAGGTAGTCACTGTGAGCTGGAGCACATTGGTCTGCATTCATTGTGAAGACAACACTTCTCCCAGGTCTTGGAAGGGTGAATAGCCTCTTGGAAGGGTGGCAGGAAGGAAGTAGGAGGAGAAATCCAGGGTCAGTATGAGAACAGGTTCCACTCCGGCTTCAGACTACGTGAGCCCACTTGCTCTTTTCCCGTGTAGCTGACTGCTTTGTCTGACCCTTAATGTCTGAGCCTTGGTTTCCTCAGCTGTACAATGGGCATTATAGTGTTTTACAGAGTTTTGTGCAGGGTGAAATGAGAGGACAGGTGTGAAAAACCTTTGCAAAAATGACAATACAAAGTGCAACTATTCTATCCTTTCTTATTTCCTCGATTTTGCAGCCCAAGGTTACCCACTCTCACAGTCTACCTGTTTCTTTTTAAAGTATTTTAAACTCTCTAGAAGAGGAGGTTTGAATAATTGAAAAACCAGGGGAATTGTGTAATTATTCTAGTGCTGGAGAAAAATGATCTCATAGCTATATCATGGAATCTTCAGGCTTGTGGCAAAATTATATTTCGTAGTCATTAGGTCCACGTTTTAGACCCTTGAAAAATGGGTCTGTTTTTATCAGTCCAGCATGAGACCCGAGGGGGCAGTGGTTCAAGTACTCAACTACTGACCCAAAGGTGAGTGGTTGGACTCCACCACCTGCTCTGTGGGAGAAAGAGGTGGCAGTCTGCGTCTGTCCAGACTATAGTCTTGGGAAGCCTCTTGGAGCATTCTACTCTTCTCCAGGGTTGCTATGGCAATCGACTTCAAGTCACTGGGTGTAGTTTTATGGTGTTCCACCTCTCTCATTTCTCTCTTGTTTCCCACTGTTCTCCAGACCACGCCACCCTAGTAGAGCCCTTCCATAGGCTATAGGCAACAGGAGTGAACAGGCAGATATATGACCATATGTTTCAGGCCCAAGCACCTATGTAACAGCTTTAGAATTCTGAACTCCTTTTGTTTTCTAACCAGATCAGAGAAGCCCTCAAGTGTCGAGTGACCTCTGCAAAATGGATCTCCAGATTTTCAGAGGTAACACTTTGGTGTTGTTTTTTTAATTTGATATTTAAATGTTTGATAAAGTCAAAACCACGTTGGGGTATCTGGCACATGGAATGTTGCTAAAGCTACAGGGTCCTCATATTGTTTCTGGAGTATAGGGACCACATTCAAAGGGAGGGGAGTGACATTAAAAATAAATTTAGAGGTGAGTAACTAGGGTGACAAGGTCGTATGAAATGACATCATAGGAGAAGCAAGGGAGAATGAAGGAGAAACATGGCAGAAAGTGAGACGTCTCAGGATCCCACAATGGCTCCTTTATTCTTTGAGATTCCAGTGGATTTAACCGTGATCTAAGGGTGAAAATTCCTGGGGAGCCATTTATGTGTAGTGGGACACAACAAAGTCCTCATCATTTGATTTTCAAGAGGAAATGATGGCCATGATCATGGGAGGGGTATAAGTAGCGTAGGGACCTGTGGAGGTCTCAACATTAGAGAGAATGCCGAGGCCAGAGACTGGGACATTAAGTGTCCTACTTGTAATTCTTATGTTTCAGAAGTCATTTGCTCACATGAGGAGAGTGAGACCTATCGAGCATTTTGAGACTGGGACAGAGGTGGCACAGAGAACACACACAGCGACTAGAGATGAGATGGCCTAGCGTTTGCCCTGGCAGCATCTGATAGGGCCTAACTGGGCTCCGCATGAGCAGATGTAGTCCATCTGGGCAGAGAAGCCATGATGGACCATTCAAGCCTGGCGCCTCCCCCCCACTTGCCGCTCTAGTTTCTCTCCCCTAAATGTTTTCAAATTTACTTCCCTTCTTTTGTATGTGGCTCCCCATTCTCCCTGGGGCTGGATGCTCTCCCTGGGGCCTAAGCTCCTGCAGTGCCTTCTTCCGTTTTCCTTGCCTTTCCTTCCCTCCCTTCGCCTTCGTCATCCTTCGTTTCCACTTCTCTCTCTCTTCTTCCTCTGCCCCCTTTCCTTAACCTCACCTAACTGTCATCCTTTCACCCCGTCCGTGGGTCTCCATATCTGGATGGTTTCTGACCTCTCTGTTTGCCCTCCACTGGATAAAAGGGCCAATTTTCACTGAAAACAAATCTCAGTAATTCCATAAATATGTGGTTCTTTCCCATGGCTGCATATAGTAATCAGCTGAACAATACTCATGCTTGTACTCTTACCCCTAGAGATGCTAGCTGAAATGGAATGGTGGCCCGGGTCTTGGGAGTTTGGGAAAAGTCCCAGGTGACTCTACTGTATGGCTCAGGATAAGAACCCCTAATAAAAGCCCCTAACGATCATAGCAATGGTGAGGTTTGCCTCCCACCTAATGCAACCACCCCCTACTGCCTCACTCTGGTCTTCCCATGGTGAACCCCCTTTCATCCTCTTCCAGGTGAGCAGTTCTCTCCCCTATGTGTTTTCAGTATTGATCCATTCAGGAAATTCTGCTCCTCAATACTATGGACAAATAATCATTGCTCCCCACATCGCTCTCTTTTTTTATGTGCCCGAAACACAAGCCAGAATTATACCCAGCATGTTATTGTCAGTGGCTGACTCCCGGAGTCAGTGGTTTCTAACACTGGCTGCACATTTAAATCACCTAGGGAGATTTTATAAAATTACCACTGTCTAGGCCCCACCCAAGAAAAACATTAAATAAATAACTTGGTTGTGGTACTTTGGAGTTTTTGTAAAGTTTCCCAGTAATGCCAATGAGCTGTAAGGCCCTAGATCAATGCATCCTAACTTCCTGTGATGCTTCTTTTCTTCTTCCCACTATCTTTAAACCATTGCATGTCATTATTTTCTTCAGCTCAAGTCCAAGGGTGAAAGTAGGCATCTCACCTGCCTTCACTTCTCCTTGCTTGGTGGGCTTCTAATCCCAGGTCGAAATCTTCCACGGTTGTAGTTGTTAGCTGCCGTGAAGTTGGTGTTTGACCCTGTGCACAACAGAGTGAATGCTATTGTGCCTTCCTTATAACTGGTTGTAGATCTGACTGTTGTGACCCATGGGACTTTGACCAGGCAGTGAGCTTATGAATTATCTATCCGAGGGAACATAGACTTAAAACCCAATGATATTTTGGACGCAAGTGTACCAGAAGAGAATGACTTGGGGGTTAGTGGCTTCAGTGGACTGGATGAGAAGGAGCTCTTTCAGCGCCACCCAATTGCCTTCTACTGGGGCCACTTTCTGGAGGGTGGTCCAGCCCAGGCAGGGGGAGGAGGCGCCCTCACACTCTGTGCTCCTTGGTCGCCAGTGGTTCTGCTCTAAGGAAGAAGAGGGATGGAGTGAAAGGATTAAAAACCAAGATCCCTCATGGCCATTGAATAATTAGGATAACTGAAAATGAACCCATAATAATGACTTCAATTATACTTTTGCTTTCAACAGAACATGTCTTCTGAATTAGCTTGTCACCCCACCAAAGGTCCCAGCTAACACAGCAGACTCCACTCTACCTTGGGAGGTGAGTGCAAAGCAAGGAGGTCTTCATATGGGTTGCATACATTTCACATTTCTTCCTTTTAAATAAAAAGTCCACAATCTTAATCATTATAATTAAAAATGATCTCTCCCCCTTGATGGAATGGGTTTATCTATACTTACTAGATCCCCACCTAAAACCAGGTAGAGATGTATTCATGTTTCTAATCCTGGATTCCTGAAACGTTTGTGTTATCACGGTCTCACTGTTCAATTCGGCATGCCTGGAGATGCTTGTCGGTGAACCAACCAGTTGCCATGGAGTTGATGCTGACTCATCAAGGTGACCCCTTATGTGTCAGAGTAGAACTGAGGTGTCCAGTGTTTGAGTTTGGGGCAGTAGATAGCCAAGCCTTTCTTTCAAGGTACTTCTGGGGAGACTCAGCCCTCTGAATATGTACACTGCTTATGCTCCCGGGGACTCAGCATGTTTAAGGGCAGAGGGAGCAGAAGTGCTGTTCTACTTAGCTGCTGACATCAGCAATGGTCTCACCTTTCCCTGACTTGAAAGATGAGCAAATTATGGGAAACAAGATTTGTGTGAGGCCTTAAGATAATGTAGATGCTAAGTTCAAGGTAGCTTGCTGAGGGCCAGAGAGAGAAAGAGACAGATAGAAGGGGGCCAGAGAGAGAGACAAGATACAGACAGACATCAACAGAGTGTCTTGAAGACACAGAAATAGCAGAGAACCACCCAGATACAAGGGCAGGTTCAGACACATCTTTCAAGCCTAGGTCGTGATGTCCCTCCCGATCTAGAGAGAAACTAGAGCAGGACTCAGAGATATCTGCAGTGAGACACCCACATTCACCAAGAGATAGAGAACGAGATAGAGAGATGGAGCGGGAGGCTGAGCAATGCACAGAGAAACCCACAATCTCACAGAGGGACACAGTCAGATCTACAGAGATAGGCAGAGAGAGTGGGGAGAGAGAGGGAAGCAGTTACCATTGAGTTAGCTTCTACTCATGGTGACTCCACTTGTATCCCAGCAGACCTGTCCTCCATAAGCTCAGTAGCTGATCTTGCAAACCAGTGTGCCAGATCTTTCTTCCAAAGAGTCTCTGGGTAGACTTGAACTTCCAACTGATTGAACTACCCCGGCGCTCAGAGATGCAGATTGAGCCATAGAGAACCTCCCTCCTTTTCCTCATGGGAGCATATACCTCTGTAGGTGAGCAGCCAATGCCTTGTACCAAGAACCAGGGATTTCCCAAAAGGATTTCCCCATAGAACAAAGTGGTTCAGCTTAGAGAAAGACACTGTGTATAACTCAATATTGTTAGGCAATGGGACAGGCCTATTTCCTGGTTTCAGAGTGACTTCGAGTGAAGAAACTCTTCATTTGTCATGGGGGTGCTACCCAAAGGGAAAAAGTGAGCTTATCACACAGTTCCTAGGAGACAGTTGCTACTTGTCCATTAAAGCTGTGCTTTTTCTATTCTTGACAAGGTCGGACATCCCAGATGTGGCATGGCCCTGAGGAGAAGTGTCCTGTCTCCTCTGTGGAGAGTACGAAGGAAGCCTCACACACATGGAGTCAAGGGAGGAGTGTGTGGTGTGTGGACAGCAGCGTGGCCCTCTGCCTAAGCTTTTCTGTGCTGACAAACATCCCTCCCCCATCAACCTCAGTATACACCCTGCTGGGCATCCACAAGGGAACAGAAAGACAAAGCAGGCCACCAGAGGAGGGTGGTCTTGTCAGGGTCTCTGACGCCATGGTATTGGGTCCTATTTATCCTCGGGAAGTACGTTCTAGCGCACCCTAGTACAGGTGGCCTGGGATATCAATCACCTGGATAGATTCTATGGGTTGGGAAGGGAGGGGCCCTTATGAGTAGCCACCAACAGTTGGTCTGACTCTTAACTAGGTCATTGCTCATTCTTTGAATGAAAGGAATCCAACTGCCTGCATGTTCCATGCATCCAACTGGTCATCCTGATTCTGGCTTAGCTATAGAGAGGACCCATGGGAAAGGAATAGAGTTTCAGAATCAGAAAACATGCTTGTTTTAAATTTAGGGGTTTAAAACCTGGAGTGGGGTCACAGCTAGTCAAGGGTTGAGACAGATGTAAACATTCCTGGCTTCCAGCTAGGAACACTCTTCCAAGGAGTAGCTGTCTGGCCTGGTAATGTATGGCCAGTCCAAGATTAATCCTTACCAGCAATACGGTTTTTTGAAGTCCAGGATGGGGAAGAGGAACTATCATATTTCAAGTAGAGAGCTGCTCATTTTCTTAACAGTGTATGTAGACAAATTCAGCATTCAAACCAGGATCACCCGAGATGAGACAGTACTGTGGATTGAAGATCTTTTCAAAAACGCTGAGAGAAGCCTTCTTTCAATATAAGCACACTGGCAGCTGCAGCAGAACAAGACCAACTGATAGAGCCATAGCCTCTCTTGCCAAACCAAAAGGCCAACATTAAAGATGTTACCATACAAATGGGAATGTGAAGCTCACTGGGTGGATTGGTGGCGCCTCAGTATCTCTCTTCTCTACTACTACTACTACTACTACTACTACTTCTCCTCCACAGATGAGAGTTGGAGCAGGAAAAAGTATCACGAAGAAAGCTACCAGCAGGTAGAAGAATTCACCCACCTAGAGAATCCATTATCTTTCAAGTAGCATTGGTTCTCTAGGGTCAACGTTAGCATCCTTCTCAAATGAAATTAGAAAGTATTGAAAACTTTTTACTGTCTATCTGAGGGAGTACCTCCCACACCCCAAAAAAACAACCTGGATTTCCCCCCACCAAAGCTATGTATTTAAGATTTTTTACAAAACAACCTTATCACCTTCAAAGCATTCTTTACACGTAATACATTTGTCAAATGTGCGATTCCTTTCTTGGAAACATTTTTCAATCCCATCTGTTTGAATGGCTGACAGCACCTCCCTCATTTTTTTTCTCTTTTCCTCCTCAACATCCTCAAACCACTGTCCTTTCATGCCCCTCTTCATTTGCAGAAACAAAAAGAGGTCACACGGAGAGTGATCAGGTGAGTAAGGTGCATAGGGCAACAGAGGCATGCTGTTTTTTGCTCAACACTGGCACACTAACGTGACTGTGTGAGCAGGTGCACTGTCCTGGTGGCAAAACCAGCCCCACCCCCCAATCTACCACAAATCAGGCCTTTTGGGGGGTCACACACTATTATGCAATCTCTTCAGTACCTCTAAATAGAAAGATTGATTTATAATCCTACCTGGTGGAACAAACTCATAATGCACTGCGCCTGTCACATCAAAAAATTCAGATGAAAAACAAACAAACAAACAAACAAACCCAAATGAGCATCATCTTGATCTTTGGTTTCACTTGACAAGCTCTTTTTGGGTGAGGTGACAATGCATCTTCCACTGCCTTGGTTGATGTTTGCTTTTGGGCATGTAAGAGTGCAAGTAGCACCATGTCTCATCACCAGTAATGACCTTGGGGAAAAGTGTAGGTCACTTTGGAGCTGTTCTTTCAAAGCACGGCATGTTTCCACTCGATGCTCTTTTTGTTGATCAGTCAGAACCCAAGGCCCAAACTTCACAGCAATCCTCATTCTCAAATCTTCCATTAAAATTCGCCGAACCGAGCTCCAAGAGAGTCCAGCTAACTTCTCTATCTCTTCAATTGTCCACCGCTGTTGGTCTTCAAGCAGAAGTGCATGAATTTTGTCAAATTTTTCATCTTTTCGGGAAGTTAACAGATGTCCAGACAAGGTTTGTCATCAATCCACACTGCACCTATTTTGAAATGAGAAAACTACTCATACACTTGAATTTTTCCCATAGCGTTGTCCTTCTAAGCTGTGTTCAACATCACAACAGTTTCTGCAACATTTTTCATGAGCAGGAAACAGTTTCACAGCTGCATGCTGTCCTCTTAAAATGGCCATCATAAAGCAAAATGAGGTTTAAGGGAAATGACTTGTATGAAAGAATTCACTGCGATCAGAGAAAACCCTCCCAGGTGATGCCACTGGGTGCACTAACTCAGAGTAAGTTGCTTGATGCTCACCTACCAGGAAAAATGTGTACTCTGAAAACTCCACCCAACAGAGCATTTTTCCCATTTTGGGGGTGGGGTACCCCCTTGTATATTTGTAGGGTCTCCTCATGGAAAAGGAGTGGGACAAATGCAGTCCTCTTTTGATCAATGCAGAGAGTTAGGTATAAGCAACATCATGTAGCCAGAGCTAATTTGTTGAAGCAAGGATGAAATAGCATGAAGCTAAGTAATGATGAAATTGTAAATCTGAACATTTTTAGGAACAATGGACACAATCACTATGTTTTCTTGGCAAAATACTTGAACACCAGGGATGTAAGGAGCTATTAGCCTTTCAACTGCATTGTGTTGAGAGGTCACATACGATATGCAAACACATTTTACTTAGGGAGACTCACTTTAAGATGGGATGGCCTGAAAGACACTTTAGTTTTGGTGGGCTTTGCCCGTCGTGGGCTCACCAAAGGTAACAAAGAATCATGTGATTATTTAGTAGTACTTAGAAAAATCCCTCTTATGTAATCCAGAATCTAATGAGATTATCACGATGTATTACGGTGATTAAGGATGACCCTGTGTGGAGATGTATTTAGTGCCTGCTAAAATCAGTGAGGAAGTACTTTAGAAGAAACTGATGCTACAATGTCTAAGGCAGATTCTTTTTTTTTTTTTTTTGCTTTCAGTCTTTTTAAAAATTTTTAAATTTTAATCATTTTATTAGGGGCTCATACAATTCTTATCACAATCCATACACACATCAATTGTGTAAAGCGCATTTGTACATTCATTGCCCTCATTATTCTTAAAACATTTCCTCTCCACTTAAGCCCCCGGCACTTGGTCCCCATTTTTCCCCTCCCTCCTCGCTTCCCCCTCCCTCAGGAGCCCTTGATAATTTATAAATTGTTATTTTGTCATATCTTGCCCTGTCCGACGTCTCCCTTCACCCACTTTTCAGTTGTCCGCCCCCCAGGG